CTGAAATCATGATTAAATACGCCAACCTTCTTTGAGTCCAAATGCATATTGAAGGTATTCAGGCCGAACTACTATTGGCTGAGCCCAAAGAGGATTCTTACTCCCTTCAGGCAAATTTGAGGAGATATTTCATTTTCTTTCTATTTCTTTTTTGGTTTGGTGAAAGTCAAAAAATTAAACATTTTCCCATGGTAAAATATGCTAACCTCCATTTTAAAGCTACAGCAGAGGCAGCTGAATTTAGCAAATGAACATGTTGCAGTTAAAAAGTCCTTTGTAAATAGCAATGCCTTGTCTAGTTGTGGGAGGAAATTTAAACTTCAATTTTCAAAATTATCAGTTGAAAAATCAGGAGCATGCTCAGAGGGCATTCACTGAAACTTATGAGCAGAGTCTAATATCCCTCCACCCCCTTCATGATAATACAATAATTCCTCATTTAACACGTGCCTACTTAACAAGTTTTCGCGATAGCACGATTTTTTTTGTTAGGGAATGTTTTTTGAAATACCATGATTCCCCCAGCCGGCCTGTTGCCGGCGGCTGTGTGGGGCTTCCCCCACCTCCCTGCAAAGTGGCGGAGGGTTCGCCGTTCGCCGCACTGTTCCCTGCTGACTCCTCCTCACCGGATGCCTTGCCCCCTCTCCTCTGCCCCCACTTGCAGGCCGGTGGCTGGGTTTCCCCAGATGGCCCATCGCTGGCGACATCCATTTTAAAGCTACAGCAGAGGCAGCTGAATTTAGCAAATGAACATGTTGCAGTTAAAAAGTCCTTTGTAAATAGCAATGCCTTGTTTAGTTGTGGGAGGAAATTTAAACTTCAATTTTCAAAATTATCAGTTGAAAAATCAGGAGCATGCTCAGAGGGCATTCACTGAAACTTATGAGCAGAGTCTAATATCCCTCCACCCCCTTCATGATAATACAATAATTCCTCATTTAACACGTGCCTACTTAACAAGTTTTCGCGATAGCACGATTTTTTTTGTTAGGGAATGTTTTTTGAATTACACGACCGTCCCCGTAATAACATGATTTCCCCAGCCGGAATACCATGATTCCCCCAGCCGGCCTGTTGCCGGCGGCTGTGTGGGGCTTCCCCCACCTCCCTGCAAAGTGGCGGAGGGTTCGCCGTTCGCCGCACTGTTCCCTGCTGACTCCCCCTCACCGGACGCCTTGCCCCCTCTCCTCTGCCCCCACTTGCAGGCCGGTGGCTGGGTTTCCCCAGATGGCCCATCGCTGGCGACAGCACAGGGCTTCCCCCACCTCCCTGCAAAGCGCCGGAGGGTTCACCGCTCACCATGCCATTCCCTGGCGACCCTCCTCGCTGGACACAGTGCAGGTCCCGGCAGACCTGTCACAGGGTTATGCTCCCAACCAGGGGCAGATGAGGATTTTGTGGGGCCCAAAGCAGCACAATTTCACGGGGGCCCCCCTTTGACACAGTGCATGCACGGTGGCGCCACGGTGCATGCGTGGGGCTTCTTGAAGCACGTGGCCCGGGGCGGCCGCCCCGCTCACCCTGCCCTATATCCGCCCCTGCTCCCAACCCAATCCCCCTCCTCCCTTTCCCCAGAGCGAAACACCTCCCCTCCCTGCTGTAACCAGTCCCCTTTCTCCCCCAACCTTATGTCCCGGTCCCAACAGATACCACCGCTTGAAATGCAACCCCAACCTTTTCCATTATTTTCATTTGGAAAATTGACCCCACATAACACGTTTTCACTTAACATGATCATTTTCTGAAACATATCTATAGCATTAAATGGGGAATTACTGTACCTACAATGCTAGGGCAGTTAAACACTCGCTGTCTCTCCTTCTAGGCAGAGGGGCTGAACCTCTCTGCTGCAGTTGTTATGAGACTATAATTGTCTCATTGAAGCTTACACTGAAATCCTCCAAAATCATAAAAATTCAAAATTCTCCAATAAACGTTTTCGACACCAAGGACAGAATTAAAACTGCACATGCCACAAGTGACAATAAAATAAATATCTTCCCCTTCTTTCAGTAACCCCCAAAATAAACCAACAATTTAAGATTATAATTTTAACTGAGTTCTACAACATTCAGGAAATTATACAATTACATTTTTATAAAAAGCTGTAGGCCTGATCCAGCACAACTTACTCAGGGTACGTCTACACTACAGCGCTAATTCGAACTAATTTAGTTCGAATTAGTTAATTCGAACTAAGCTAATTCGAACTAACGCGTCTACAACTAAAAACTAGTTCAAATTAGAGTTTTGCTAATTCGAACTAGCATGTCCACATTAAGTGGACCCTGAACCGGGCTTAAGGATGGCCGGAAGCAGTGCCGGCAGGGCATCAGAGGAGGACTTAGAGCGTGGAGATGCTGTCTCAGGCTAGCCGAGGGCTGCGCTCAAAGGGTCCCGACCCCCACCCCGAACAGACAGTTCTCAGGGGTGCCCCGCTTGCAAAGCAGTCCTGGCTTGGAGTGCCCGGACTACCCACACTGGGCACATCACACCACTCGGCCATCAGCCCGGCTGCACTTGCCGCAGGCTGCCATCTGGGGAGAGGGGGCAATTGGGGGGCTGCAGGAGAGCTTCCACCCCCAGAAGCCCGCAGAGCCAGCCCAGTCCTCCCCATCGGGGGTTCGTACCCCATTCCTCCCTCACCTCCTTCCACTTACCCTTCCCTAACCC